CAAAGGTAAGCATCGTTGTAAAGTATTCTCCATTATTTTAAAATCATCATCAGTCCAAGTTGCGGGGTCCGAAGTAAGAGTTGGATTTTGTGCAAGTCCCCATCTTAATACATGATTCCAAACTTCAACTTCTTCCATTTGTAGATCGTCTCTTTTGATGATTGACATTAAAGATTTTTCAGAAAGAAAAGACAAGTGAAAAATTTTTCTAGTCAATAATAAGGTGATCAGTAACGTAACTATACCAAATATAGAATAATCGGAAATGATCTATTATGGTCTGATTAAATTATGTATAATTATTTTAATTCTGGCCGGAATTATCAATTATTTCAAAATGCTTTAATTTTTGCATATTAAAAAATTCAAGAATATTCCCATAATTTCTATTCTATTTATATGACACGATGAATTTCTTAACAATTATAAACAAACGCTTTTTAGTTTCTTGATCATACTTTCTATACAAAAAAATCAACAAAGTTTCAATGCTACTGTAAACATGTTTCTACCTGGAACAATTCTTATACCACCTACGAAACTAATTTTGTTGATATTATGGCAGATCACCCATTAAAATTACTCTAGATAATTGGATCAGGATCTTTCCAAAATTTCAGGCGATTTATGCAATTTTCTATTGTGAAAAAGAATACGGTATTATGTTTCCAACTCATTCCTAAATTTCAGTATTAGGATATAAGTTGAATGGCTCATTGAGATTTTGGCGTCAAGGTATGTGAATTAATTTAAATCTATATAAGTTATCTGTCGTGCTGTGTCGAGCCCCTAGAATTTCTTTCATTTCGCAAATGTGCAAGAACTTTAAGATGGTGAGCTAAGAAACAGAAAATATTTGCGGTATAATATAAAAGAATGAATAAAATTTTATTTACGAAAGTTTTTACCCAGAGATTTTTTAAACTTACTGTATCTAACCGGCTAGGCTGAATTCCACAAAGTTAGTTCTTATGGAACATCTATCAAATCTCATAAATTACAGTTCTTCTTTACTTGATAAAATTAGTAATATGAGATGATTATTAAACAATGCTATAATTCAATCATTTCCGAATATGATTCTTAAAGAATATATCTAATCAAGTAAATTTCAAGAGAAAAATGAATCAATCGCTTCTGACTCAAATTTTTTCAAACATGAAAATAATCTTTCGCATAATATGAATTATCAACTAATGGGAACGGTAATGGACCGGAAAGAGACTAGAAAGAGTTGTTTTATGCTAACTGCTTATGTGGAGTGCAAATGAAAATATCACCTAAAAAGTTATTATATTACTAAGAAAGCAAACTTATCCAGTGTGTAGTCTCGTTGCAATATCACTAACACCATAACATTTCTGTGATCATTGTAACAATTTGATTGTAAATGATCGGACATTAAAAAAAAAAAAATTTTTTAAAAACTCTCATAAATTTTTAAAAATGTCTGACGGTAATAATAAAATTAAATGTGTAATATTATATCTTTTAATTTTAAAGATGGCTTTGGTTTTATATCAATAAAAGCTTAAAAAAGCATAAAAAATGAATAAAAAGCAAATCATGATGTTTTACGAGCCTAAATCGAATCTGAAATTTTTTTTTTATGAAAAACCAAAAATTTTCATTAGAGACAGTTTCAGATGCTAAAAAAGCATCCTCATTAGGGTAATATTATGTATTATAACCCACATTTAAATGTTATATTTCGTTATTTATATACATTTTCGTTTGCTAAAAATTTTAATAAGAACCAACCTTAAGAGAATATAATAATAATTATGTAATTACAGTCAGACCTGTATATAATCACACTGTATATAGTCACACCTTTATATAAGAACACATTTTTGTAGAACAGACTTAAAGTATATTAAATTACCTCTTTATAGTCACAAATCAATTATATTTACTATCACACGAAATTCTTAACGTACATATCATTTCTATTAGAAAATCTACCTCTTTATAATCACAAGGTTTTTGATTGGTTTATATCAAAAAGATCTGATTGGTTGCATATCATAGTTTAAAAAAGTTTGATAAGATTGATAATCAATAATTTTATATAGATTTTAAATGTAACATGCTTAAAATGTAACACTTTAAAATGTAATGCACGTACAAATGTTATAATTTTTTCATTCTATAGAGATTTTTTTCTTGCATTATATCAATATATTGAATAAAAAAGAGTGGTGTTTAAAATGTCATACTTTTGTGAGAAATTCTTTTTTTATTTTCCGGTGAACCCTTCTAATATTCACATCCTCCTTCCTACCAAGTAGTATTTCCTTCCTATAATGCCCGTTAACCATCCCAAAAAGAGCCATTCAGCAATAAGTATTAGCCTTAAATACCAAATTTGTGAATAGTCAAATAAAAATAAAAATAAGAAACAAGAGAAAATTGCTGCCCATTTCAATGAACAAAACCTAACTCTAAATATTGATCATAGTATCATATCAAAGATATTGGCACAAAGTGAAAAATGGAGTACTATATTAGAAATTGAAGGTTCTAAAGAAATTTATAAACAAAAAGGAGTCAAATTTCTAGAACTTGACAGGATTATGAATTTGTGGATAGAAAATGTAATAGCAGGCGGTGTGATCCTAACAGATGCATTAATAAAAGAAAAGACTAAACCAGTTCGTGATGAGAAAAAGGATGAAACGTGAATTACAGTTCTTTTTAGTGTAAACGCAATAGGAACTGATAAACTTACCATAGTAATTGGTAATGTGAAATGTCCAAGACCACTTTTAAAAATTAATCTAAAACAGCTTCCAGTTTATTATCGTGGGAATTCAAAGGCATGGATAAACTCAACAATTTTTGAAGAAGTTTTTTCATGAATTGGATAGCTATTTTAGAGCAAAAAATAAAAAAATCTTGCTTTTAGTTGATAATGCACAATTACATTTTGATCCACATTATTTACTGACTGAGAAAGATGTAGATAATGATGAAAAGATTGAATCAATATCTAGTAAGTTTTGAAATTTAAATTCCTTTTATATTTTTGTTCATTATATAAATTTTAATATAACTTACTATTAGAATTCATTATCGGAGATTTAATTGAAAAATTATAATTTATTAATTGTCATATACACATTTTTTTGTTACATAATTTTTTTGTTACATATTTTTTTTATTACATATTTTTTTTTATTACATTTTTTTTGTTACATATTTTTTTATTGTTATAAATAAAATTTATTTATTATTACATAATAGACATGATAATTAGCAAATATTTAAATGAAAATAACTTACCTAAATTTTTTTATATAGAAAATCGAGCTTTAAGATGTCGTGGTAATTGTGGATCTAGAGGCTGTGATAGAGGTTGTGGTAGAGGTCATCATAATGGAGATCATAATAGTGAACAAAGTAATCATGAATCTGAAAATCACAGTTCTAGTATTTCTCAGCTTTAATTAACTTATATTGAAGTGACTTTTTTACTCCTAATACTACAAGTCACCTTCAGCCACTTGATGCCAGGATAATTGCAAGCTTTAAAAGTCATTATAAGAGAAATTTTTGCTGTCATATGTTAAACCTCTTTGAAGATGGCAAAGATATTAATAAAGAAAAAATCAACATTAAAGAGGCAATTAATTATTTAGTAGATGCATGGGAACAAGTAACTGAAAAAACTATAAATAACTGTTGAAAAAAAACCAGAATCTTACCTTCCTTAACTGATGAGGATATTAATAATGTGACATAAATTCAACAAAATTTTACAGATCGTAAAGCAGCAAATATTAATCAAATCATTGAAGAAATTGAAAAATTTAGTAACGATTCTTATAATGTTTTATTAAAAAATGCATTAACTAATTTCTTTCATAAATTAGAAGATATTTCAACTAAAGATACTCTAGATAATGATGATATTATACAATTGGTTCAAGAGGAAATGTATGATGAAGATAATACTAATGATGATTTTGAAGAAGAACTATTACTAGTATCTTCAGATGAAGCTTTAAAATCCTTACAAACTTGGATTACATTTTTTGATCAGCAACAATTAGACAAATTTAGCATTGAAGATGGTCAAATTTTTAAAAAATACTTAAAGATAGTAAAGCAGCTTGAATTTCAATCTCAAAAATAAGTTCCAATTACTAATTTTTTTAGCAGTTATGAATTCAATAATTGATTTATAAGTTTTAATAAATACAATAATAAAATTGATTACAACTGAAATAAATCATATAAAAAATAAAATTAAAGTTGTGTTCCTGATTTTCTAATGGAATTTCACAGAGATTTACAGTATATAGTGCTTCAAAACCGGTTTTCAGTCTTCGGTTTTAGTCCATTTATTTAGTAACCGGTTTTAAAAAAAAATTTTAAA